TCATCTCAAACTAATTGATCAAAATAACTCAGAAATGGTTTCCTCACCTCATCCATCTCCACCTTGCCAATAGTGGGATGAAATTATATACGGTCTTGGGATGTAGACCTTTGTGAAGATGATAAACAAAACAGATGTTTGGAATCATTGATTGCTGTGACTCCTTCCTTATCCACTGTCTCCATGATTTCACTTGCTTTCTTATAATGCCATGAGTGTCATTCCTCTGGAGATGAGTGTCATCTGTGATAGCTCTCTTTCCAGCTGACAAATACACACTGACAGAATTTTGAATCTTGTGAACTTTTTGTTGTTGTTATTAAGTTTGTCAATTGTCAGCATTTGTATTTCATTCTGATGATGAATAGAGGCATTACATTTTGGCATTAAAATGCAGTTAAGGTTGTAATGAGCATCATTAGGAAGTATAATGGGAATCAGCACAAGATCTCATTTTAGGGTGAGGTTTGTTTTTTATTCTGTTTTTAAGATTATTTGCTTCTTCTTCCCTACCAGGCAGGTAGGAGCTGCACAATGCCTGTAAATTTGAAATTTAACAAGACCATGTTCCTCCTGTCCAAGACTACTCCATTCTTTACAAATCACAGCTAGTTTATCCAAGTCACAGCAAGGAAGTCCTTGTAAGAGCATCATTACAATCTATCCCATCTAACACACATACTTGGCTTCTAAATTCTGCCTTATAACTCAACTACATGTCCTTACTGCATATAAATTTTTAAATGAATATGAGCCTTCTTGCACATAAATCTGAATAGATCCAATTACCTTTACTGAAATGAATAGGTTATTGCTCTGAGGTTGGACCTGTAAGAAATAATTGTAAAATGAAAGTCTTCTATAATCCAGCAGAATGATCAGTGCATATTTTTATTTACAAAAGTGTGCTCTACCACAACTCAGGCTGCTGTACAATACAATATAATATTAGTACTCCCCAATTTATCCCTCAGAGAAGCTGGTTATATATCTGGAGATGAGATTACAGATTAAATATGAATTAAAATCTGTGGTCTCTGGATTTTCATTTGAAATTGTATTACATTTTTGTCTATATTCTTTATCTTTGTTGAAGACATTTAAAAATTAAGGGATCTAATCCTAAAAAGAAAAGAATTACTTCTGTGGTCAGGTTATACTCCATGTTCTTATTTTATCAATTTTCTGCTGAAGATCACAGGCAAAATCAATTTAAACCATTACTCATGTGTTATGTCACAGAGTCAGAAAATTACATGGAGAAAGTAAGTAGGGTTGAATTTCATTTACTGTGTATGTATCTCCTAAAGTATGGAATTAGAATTAGATTTAGGAAAAACTAAGAACACTGTAAATATAATCCCAAATCTCTAGGAAATAGATGTCTGTAATAAACAGAGCAATGATGTGAAGAATCCCAAAAGAGAGAACACTCAATGTAGACATCCTAAGTCCTACTGCTGTATTTGGAACATGAAAGTGAAAATCAATGCCTATAAAGTGCCAAATGCAAGTTACAGATTGCAAGACACACATTGCTAGGGGTGCCATAGGAACACAATACATAGACAATACCTGAAACATGGCAGCCCTATAAAAGATACTAAATTAGGTTGTCTTTAGAGACTTGAAACCCGAGAAAGTAGCAATAATGAAACTGGAGATTCAATCTTCTGCCTTCGTCTTTCCAGACATGAATACTACACTGATTCCTAGTGGGAAAATAACTAAGCATATAGAAAAAAGGGGGTAAAACAAAGCTGACACACAAATCTATTATCAGAAAATACCCTGGCCAAACCTCAGCTATTTGTACTTTTTCAGACCTTCCATCACTTGTCTGCCTACTACCTCGTCCTTTACCTAGTTTTCAGTATCTATCTTTTCTTTTGCTACTCAGAATGATCTTTGGTTTTGTACAGATCCCAGGTTCATGATCTGTGCTTGTGAATGGAAGTGTCAGTCTATACTGAAAAAGATAGTGGCTGGCTCTTAAGACACCAAAATGATTTTGGCTTAGGATGGCACCTTTGAAATAAGTTGTTTCCTCTAACTGTACAACAGAAATACTCCATATAAAAGCGATGCTTGATTTAGCATTGTATACTTTTTAGATATTTGGCTTAATTCTCGGCTTTCTTGTTTCTTGTATAGTCATGTATATCTGTACAAACTGAGTGTGAAACAATACCAAATCAAAATGAGCATCCATTTGTGCTCATTTGGAACGGGCATGATTGGATGTCCATGGTACAAGGAAGTGGAAAATTAGATCTGCGAGTATCTTAGGAATTTTGTCATCTTCTATTTACAGCATAGTACACTGTGAGCACACAACAATGAATAAGTAAAATAATAATAAAATATGGGGCCTTTTATCTGTAGAGAGCAGCTGAGGGATATAATAATATGTTGAAAAAAATAGGTAAACTGGGGGTTGAGAAGTGTTACATTTGTCTTCCTTAATAAATAACAATGCCTATCTCTTACAAAGCAAGTTTCTTCATTAGATCTCAAAGCAATTTACAAAGGAGGACAGTACCAATCCCCCTTCTGTTCCTCCATTTATTCATCGATAAAATAGGGAAGTGACCTGTCCAAAGTCACCCACAGGCCTACAGCAGAGATGATAACCAGAGAAAATTCTCCCAGAGTCATGGTCCAACACGCTAGTCATGAGACAACAATTATATGATTCATGGTAATATTATTAAATCATCATTGTCTACTGTCCTTCTTTTTCTGAACTAAGAAATAGTCTGTTACATGCACACATGTGATTAACACATAAATACTTCATTTAAGTGAATGTGGAAATACTTCATTTAAGTGAATTTGGAAATCATTTATTCCATGTTCATGGCATAAAAGGGCATATTTTGCCTGTAGATGTTCCATAGAACTAGATCTTCCTCCCTCCTTTGCGCTTTCGCAGAGGGATCCATCAGAATCTTTCCATCTATGATAATGGGAAAAGAGAAAACAGTGAGACTTTGTCTATGCTTCAGGGTTTTTGCACAAGTCTTGTGCAAAAACTTCTTCCGAAAAGTGCATCAAGACTTCAAAGCACATCGCAAAAGCAATGTACTTCTGTGCAAGAGAGCATCCACACTGCATGGACACTCTTGTGCAAGAAAGCTCTGATGGCCAGTAACAGAATATCCATCAGAGAACCTGTGCTTTTTCCAATAGGGGTTTCTTGCGTAAAAACTCCTCCAGAGTGTTGACACCTGTCCTTTTTGTGTAAGAGATGTAGCGCAAAATGAAGTTATTCCTCGTGGATAATTCTACCAGCAAAAGCCCTCTGTTCTGTTGATTGTCTTGTGCAAAAACACACTTGAGGTGTGGACTCTCCACTGCTTTTTGTGCAAAAATGGCTGGTTTTGCACAAAAATCTTGTAGTGTAGACATAGCCTGAGGGAAACAGTTGGGGAATGGGAATGGGGAATATGAAGTGTGAACCTGTCAGTACTGAGAGGTGAGTCTGTGGCCTTGCCCCTCTGGCAGACCATGGCTGATGCTGAGGGATAACACATCTTTAGGAAATAATACCTATCTTTTTATATATATGTGTGGCAGTATTTGGTCTTTATTTTGTTGTAATTTTCATGAATGATATCATTGATTATTTTAAGCATTTTTATTAGTATCTGTTTAAATTTTCACAGTTGTGGGTAATTATGACAATATGAAGCATAGAAAATAATTATTCAATGATAGGAGATGTTGAGATTCAAAAAGTAAAACTTTATAAATATTTTAGGAAAAAATATTCTGCATTACATGTCAAAATATACAAAGTAAATATCCTTAAATAAAACTAAGTTTTCAAGCAGATTTTTATACTATGCCCACCTGTATATTTCAATTATTGTCAATGGAAATATTTTATTCCGCTTATTGGAATATGGAGAAATTGGTGTTTACTGATACTTGCCAATAAAAAGCTATTCTTCCAATCATATTGATATAATGCTTTTTATGCAGGTGCTTTATAAAGGAGGTCTATAATGTAATAAGAGCTACTGGTATCATGTTGTTTTGCATCTCTTCTTAAGTGGCTTTACACATTACATTATATCTCAAAATTAAGTACTGTAAAGAAAGGAATATTTTTAATTGTGTAATTCTGTCAGTCTAAAATTAAAAAATGTGATATTTCTTTAAAGACAAGAAAATAGTTATCTTGCTGGCCAAAACTTTTAAAGAAGCTACATTGCCTCCAACATAGGCAGATAGCTAATATGTTTAGATTACAATCAGCATCTTTCTTTTTTTGTTGTTTTCTTGCACCTCACATGCATAGTTTACTCACCAATTTCCACCATTTAGTTTGGTTTTTGGATGATCTTCACAGGCAGCTGGAAGTCACATTGGTTATTTTGTCAGCGTTTACCATTGTTTGGTGTAATATTTGTCTAGGGTTTTTTTTTCCCTCCCCAGTTTTTATCCATATTATGACTTGTTGGGGAAATCATGTTTGTGCCTTCCTTGTCCTAGATGTGTCCATTATCAAAGTCTAACCACATTTGTTGATTTATGTTAATTATACTTAATTTTTTGATGTTATAAGAAACTTTCCAATATTCTCTGGGGCTACGTCTACACTGCAGGGTTCTTGCGCAAGAAATGTTTTGTGCAAGAGTTCTTGTGCAAAAGGTCTTGCACAAGAGCATGTTAACGCTGCCATGTGCTTTTGCACAGGAGCATCCATGGCAGTGTGGACGCTCTCTTGTGCAAGAACTCTTTGATGGCTATTTTAGCCATCTGTGATGGACAGGGGCAGATAAGAGTGCCGCGGGGCCCCGGGCAGTGCCGCAGGGCAGCACAATTTTGTGGTGCCTCCTTCCTTTGATATGGTGCATGCGCCATGGCACCCTGGCACATGCACAGGGCTTCTGCAAGCGTGGGGCCTGGGGCAGCCGCCCTGCCCCAAATCCGCCACTGGTGATGGCCATTTAGCCTGTTGCCTGTCCACACTAGCCTTTTTGCACAAGAGCTCTTGTGCAACAGAGCTTATTCCTCATGGGGAGAGGAATAACTCTTGCACAAAAAGCCCTCTGTTCAGACGCTTTACTTTAAATTTACTTGCAGAAGAACGCATATGCAGTGTAGACGCTCCACAAGTTTTTGCACAAGAACTGCCATTCTTGAGCAAGAAGCCTGCAGTGTAGATGTAGCATGGATGTCTTTGCCAGGCATTTAATTTAGAATTAGTTGATTTTGTAGATTTCCATGACTATGGTTCATAAAGGCAGACAAACATTGTGCCAGTGCTAAAAAATTTTATTTGTATACCAGTGGCAATTAGTCATATTATTTTTCCATATTTCTTCAAGTTTATTATCAACAGAAATGTTAGTTCAAAATGCAAGGAAACATCAAAAATGTGTAGGGATAGTGCAACTGTAGAAAAAAAAAGAACAATCCCAAGTGTTTTAAAGCAATTTTTTCCAGTCTGCCCATCAAAGACTTTATTGTTTGTCTGTTCTTCTTCAATAACGCCACACACTTGTTAGCCTTACTGTTCTGAGAACCTGTCACTGATATAAAAACCAAAAACAGGGTTCAAAATAATAAAAACTTGCCTCATATTAGAGCATGAACACAGTTTTAAAAACACTTTTGAAAACCTTTAAGTGTTATAATTGCTAGGTGTTTTGTGGAACGGATCCCAACTAGGAAGATTAGAAAAATGTTCCATACTAAAAAGAGAATATTCATGCATGGTTAAACTAGCACAGTTAGAAACAGCAGTAGAAGAATTTTAAATGCTGCAGTCTATCCCCATGTTTAAAATTGAGCCTATAATCTTTAGACCACAATTTGTATTTGCCTGTCACTGACTGACTTTGGCCTTTATTTTATCACAGTTTAACAGCTATGCATAATTCCATTTTTTAAGACACTGACCAACTTAGCCTACTGCTACCAACCTTCTAATGTCTTTCAGTTCTAGAAAAACAGCATGCAACATTGTGGTTACAATGGTTTGATTTCTGGTTTCAAGAGCTTTTTTTTTAAATTGATCTCTCTAGACACATTGAACATGACATATCACCAGATGATGTTAGTCAGAAAGAATACCAAACCTTTTCTTTCATTTTTATAAACATATTTTAGTGCTTATTTATGAATACACCACTGAAGATGTCATGCTTTGATTGCTAAAATGTGATCAAATGTGTGTGGCTTTGTGTAAGAAACAATCTCACCTTGTTTTAGATTTTAAAGAGATATCCCTTCATTAAAACCAATTCGACAAAAGAGAATAGAAAAGAAATTAACTTGATGAAGCTTTAGGACTGATCCTGTAGTACATAATGCGAGAGAACTGTTTATTTACCCATGTAGCGCCATTGACTTACAGAAAATGATGATTAATCACATGAGTAATGATTGCTGGATCAACCATTTTCTGTATTGCTTTTTCAGATATTTCCTTTGGTATTTCCCTTCCTGTGATGGCGTGAAATAGGTCCAATGGCCTTGTCTCACCCTGCCCCTCGGGGAAAAAAGCAAGGGAGAAATCCTTCAGGCAGTCTAGTATGGCTGCAGGAGAGCATCCAATCAGAGGGGCTGTTAGAATGACAAATCTGTAACCAGAAGGACCGTACATAATGATGCCATAGGATCAAACTAGCCAGTTACTGCCTAGAGCTAGAGGAGAGAGAACTGAATTCCTGACTGGGTGACTGAAAGACAAGCAGGGCCATGGGTGTAAGAAGGGACTATAGTTGTTAAGAGGGAGCTCCTGGCTGGCTGCTGCAACTAAGTATGCATGGTAAACAGGGAGGACTGCAAGAAAACATTGTCTCCAGAAGGAAGGCCTAAGGGGCAAGACAAGTGAAAGACTTTATACCTCAAAATGGGTTTGGTTTTTTTTCATATACAGTTTTTATGACTCAGCCGGAGAGCTGATTCACTGAAAGCTGCCTGAGAAACCACTGACAGATACATGGAGAGATTGCTTGTATGCTTGATCAGGAGGTGGTGCACTTGCGAGATTGGTGCTGCTCCATTAAACTTCCTTCAACCCAGCTTGAAACAATAGTAAAGTCAAAATCCTGTGTTCATTTGGCATCACAGCAAAACAGCATACTTCTGTGGAAATGAATTTGATGACACAAATTCACTTATAAAGTATGAAAATAATATTGGCCAAGAACAAGCATGCTCTCAGTCTATTCTATAATTAGTTCATGTACAAGAAAGAAATTATGACAAAAATTGAATAGTGAATAGATTTTCACAGTACTATTAATATAATAGATAACCGCAAACTGTGTACCATACATAAAAGGCCAAATCCAGAAGCTCTTGTGCATTCCAAATATTAAAGATCTCAATGTCCATTATGAAATTTTAAAGACTGAAAGACAGAGACTCAATTAATAAAGATAAAAAGTTGTTAGTTGAATTGAGTTTAAAAATCCTATTCACAAAACTAATGACGAATGCTTTTTTTTTTATCTTTAGAGAGAAAATAAAGTAAATTAGTACTTTTGAGCTCTAAATCACATTTGTTAGGTAAAAGAAACCCTGCATTTTAGGATACTGAAGAGTAATGTTTTCATTGTTGAGACCAACTATCTGCTGTTAACATTAGCATAAATTTTAACCTTTCACCCCCATATAGAAAATGGTCTTCAATTTGAGAAAAGGGCAAATGTGGCCATTAATCACAAACTTTCATAACAACCTCTGAAAATACTATGTTGTAAGTCTCTGGAAATAAATTCCAACTGCTATGATAACTAGTGCCTACAGCTATAGGTAAAAAATATACATCCAGATATAAATGAGAGCAATAGAGAAGAAGATGTACGAAACAGAAAAGATATCTGACAATACACCCATTCTAAACAATATTAATACATTTGTGTTATAACACTCAGGCTACATCTAGACTGGCCCCTTCTCCGGAATAGTCATGCAAAGCAGGTAAGTCAGAATAGGGAAATCCACGGGGGATTTAAATATCCCCCGCAGGATTTAAATAAACATGTCCGCCGCTTTTTTTCCGGCTTGGGGAAAAGCCGGAAAAGAGCGTCTAGACTGGCGCGATCCTCTGGAATAAAGCCCTTCAAAGTAGGAATAAGAGATCCTCCGGAAAAGGGCTTTATTCTGGAGGATTGCGCCAGTCTAGACACTTTTTTCCGGCTTTCCCCAAGCCGGAAAAAAAGCGGCAGACATGTTTATTTAAATCCCGCAGGGGATATTTAAATCCCCGCGGATTTCCCTATTCTGACTTACCATGCATTCCTGAGTCAGTATCAATATAAGACAGAAAAGAAAAGATACGGTGGTTCCTAGAGGAGTGTAATCTGAATTATCCACTTCAAAATTTGTTTCCAGAGGTACGTCTAAACTACATGCCTCTGTCGGCAGAGGCATGTAGATTTGTTTGTTCAGCAAAGGCAAATGAAGCCGCGATTTAAATGATCGCGGCTTCATTTACATTTACATGGTTGCCGCGCTGAGTCGACAAACAGCTGATCAGCTGTTTGTCGGCTCGCGCGCTAGTCTGGACGTTCCCCCTGTCGACATCAAAGCCCTTTGTCAGCAGCCCTGGTAAACCTCATTCCTCGGGGCGGGAGCGTCCAGACTAGCGTGCTGAGCCGACAAACAGCTGATCAGCTGTTTGTCGACTCAGCGCGGCAGCCATGTAAGTGTAAATGAAGCCGCGATCATTTAAATCTTAAATCGTGGCTTCATTTTCCTTTGCTGATCTGTCTAATCTACATGCCTCTGCCGACAGAGGCATGTAGTCTAGACACAGCCCAGGAGAGAACCAAAGGGAACTGATTCTGAATGAACATATCAGAAAACAAATATTTGTTGCTCTATCTATGTTAACTACAGTTACACAAGAATCTTAAGCAACACAGATCCCCCAGAAGTCTCACTGAACACATGATCATATGTCATCCTCCCCCCCCCCCCAAGGAAAATCAGCCTACACATTTATTTGATCTTTCAATATATAATGACAACAGTGAGCGAAATCTACAGATTCAGACCATGATTTTAGTTTTACATTAATTGTAGCAACTGTAGTGTATTAGGAAGTCTCCAGATGATGATCCTGCTGAGATAAGAACTTCATTTCTTACCCTGCAGATATGAAGAGAGAGAAAAGCAAAACTTCATTTTACCATATTAGGGTCAATTTAGGATCTTATCCTTATTTATTTTGTTTTTTTATTGAATTTTTTCCTTTCCTTCACGTACTTGGCTTTCTGTTTCCTAAAACTTTTCTCCTGTGCATTGTTTTCTACTGTGAAATAAATGAATAGTATGATATATCAATAAACTGTAAATCTGAACCAAAGGCTTAATGAATCAAAATGTATTTTTTATATAACATCCCTGTCTCAAAACACAAAATCTGAAAAGCCTATTGATACATGTGCATTCTACACAGACACACATGGATCTTTGGGTAGCAGATTCAGCCCAGTTGAGGAAGAAAGCATGCCTCTCATGGCTGTCGTTTGCAAGGAAAACTAAGAATTTGAAGTATCCAGTTAATTATAAAATGTCCACTGTCTGTTACACAGGAACACAGACCACACAATTAGTTCTGAGTATGATATGTGAGATAAAAAATCAGAACTGACAATACTATAAAATGGAGCCTTCGTTTGCCTTCTTACAGTGACAGCACCAAGCACCCTTATGTCAGAAGTAGAGAGAGAAATCGTGTCAGTTGCATTCTCTGATGACCACTTTTTTCCCCATCCAAGAGACATTCCAATTTCTTCCTGTGCTAAACTTTAGCCTCCAAAAGCTACAACTGCCAAATTAGACTTCCTTCCATATTATGGATCTGTTCCCTTAGGAAAGGTGGTGGTTTTTTATTTCACATTTGACCTTTTCCTGTTACTGGTATGAAAGGACGTTAATTGACCCCATCGTAGCTGAAGACCAAAGCATGGCAGGGAATGGCAATGTTATGGAATACATAATAATCTCTTCACTGTAATTCCCTACTTTCTTCCAGAACAGAAGCACTCCTGTACCTCCAGACTCATAAAAGAAAAACCTAGAAACTGTAGTCCTTGTTTACTTTCTTATGTCTCATAACGGAGATTGCAAGGCAATAATACTATTTCAAACAAATGTGCCTGTGGCCAGGTCTGCCGGGTAGTGTGATGGCTTAGTGGTTAGGTCCTGGAGTTAACTGGCAACAAAGGGGTGTAGACCCCTGTCACTGGGGCTATGGGCCTAGGAATTCCAGCTTCTTATCTGAGTCTAGTTCTTAAGTTTGGAGCATGGCCCCAATTCCAATTTCCCCTTCCTCAGTGAGGGTTACTTGTAGGTTCTACCCCTTTGTGCCAGAGGGAGGGGTTGAAGGGTTACGTGCTCCTGTGGCTGACCCAATAGATAGCTCTGTCTCAGGTCCTGCAAACAACAGAACCAGCTCCTCTCTCTTCACTGGTAGCCCCTAACTGAGCCAGGCTCCTCTCTTATCCCTTCCAGATCTGGCATTGGCTGCAGGTAAAACAGGGCAGGGTTCACCGGGGGGGAGGGGGGAGGAAGGCTTTGTTTAGCCCCTGCACTGCCACTCTCACTGCCTCATAGTGCCTGTGTTTGGAAATATTTTTTTATTATTCCTCTGGATCAGACAGAGCTCTCTGCTCCTTTTTTATCAAGTTATTTTTTGTTTGCACACACTTTATTTGCATGTAAGTGGTCATATGTCAATTAACTTGGGATATTTGTAAGTGCCTTCTTTTCCATCACAGTTCTGTCTTTGGTGGATTTACTTATCAGAAAGAATAACTCCATCTGATCTCTCAGCAAAGGGCAATCAGATAAACTTCTTCATTGCTTCTGTGTATTTTAGAGCTCAAATATAATTTAATTTGAGATTATTATTTTTCAAACATACACACTGGAGATTTTTATCCCAATTTGCTATGGGTCCTATCATGAATCTCTCAACTAGGTAATTTAAACACTGGCACTTAGGATTAGCAGATGTCCCCATTTTATAGGGACAGTCATAATATTTGAGACTTTGTCTTATACTTGCACCTACTCTTACCTACTTCCATCCTAGTTTTTCACACTTGCTATCTGGTCACCCTACTGTTGCTGCATGGACATCTAGGCTCCTGGCAAGTCACTTTCCCACCATATGAACGTGTCTGCTGTTACCTGTGGATTTTAATGAAGTGGCCCTGGAAAAATGTTTAGGGCAGGGTTGTTTAGCTGTGCTCCTTTCCCCTTATCCATGTCCCTCACTGCCCCATGCTGGGGCTACAACTGGGAGTGACTGTGAAGCCCTGGGTGAGGGGGCCAATGGTCAGTGCCCTGGACCTGGTGGTTGGGACTCCAGGAAATAGAAGAGCCCCTGGTGGCTGGGACCCCAGGACTGACAGTGGAGCCTGCAGGGCCAGTGTCCAGGATCCTCAGAGCCAGCAAGACCAGAGGCTGGGACATCCTGGAGCTGGCAGCTGAGCTATCAACACAGGCTCAAAATGTAGGGGGTGCCACTGCACTCCTTCCCCCTCCTTTCCATGCCTATGGTTACTTCTGATTTACACCAATACAAAGTGAGAGGAAAAAATAGCCTGTAATGTGAATTTCTCCTGAGTTGCTGTGTACTACACTGTGAAATATAAATGAATGTGACTAGAATATTAACTATTATTTAATATTCTTGGAAAATGTGACCCTTCAAGTCAGCAAGTATAGACAGGCTTTAATGTTAAGGAGTTGCTTGCTCTCATACAGACAGAGTTTAAACTTGAATCATTCTTTGTGATCAGTAGTTAAATCCATCCCCTGCTCCCCAGTTAGAAGCAGACACCATCCAGGATTGAGTTACTGGTGATTTAATACATTTTAGAGGAAACCTGCATTCTGGCTATATTATTGCAAACTTCTGTAGAAAACAAAGTGGTTGTCAGGTCCCAACTGAACAAGTTGTTTATATTTCTATGATTCGATGAGTGTAAAGCTGGAAAGGACCTCAGGAGTTCATCTACTCCTTCGTACTTGGATTAATAGATTAATCCTCTTCTCCAGATCTGTGATCAGCTTGAGAGGCCTGATTCTCATTCATGCTACAGCTGTTTTATTCTTCTCTAGCAATGTAAGGAGGCTTTAGAGTGGATGTAAATTGGAACTTACACTATTGTAAGGTCACTTTTTACTGCCAGAATGATTTAAGAAGTGATGTTAAGTATAAATAAGAATCACACCTGAAAAGTTTACTCCCATCCAAATGGACTTTAACTTACTCATGTTTCAACAGAAAACAAACACATTACATTTTTGTTTGCAGAGTTTGAATTGAATATGTGCACAAATGGGATGAGGGCAACCTGCTAGAATTGTTATTCATCAAATTCCAAACCTGCATGCCATATTCTGGATGCATAAGGCTGCTGAGGATGTATTTAAATATAAAATATGTCCACTGTTTCATTAAAAACAGTTTTGGTAGGGAATAGAGTTTTGTTGTTGCTGTTTTGTTGGGGTTGTTTATTTGCTTTTTTTTATAGTTTTAGTAACCATACACTAAAATGAGATATTTTCTTTGTTCTGGAAAAGCTATAAAATAACATCATACAGTGGCAATCTGGCTAAATTTCCAACATAGAATTCTGCTGCTTCAGTTCTTCTCTGGCTGTGTCATTAGCAGAAAATAATTCCACACAGCTTATTTACATTCTAAAGATTCTTTTCAGTGCTTAAAAAGAACATAAAAAGAGTAATCAACTTATTTTAATTTGCGTTGCTTGCATTTATTTATCTAAAACACTCTGCTCAGGGTGCAGTGAATGTAAAGATAAAGTCCTCAGTCCTGCACCCATCCCAACACATAGCAATAATATTGACGATATGTGTTCAGTTATTAATTAAAATTATCTAAAAAAAATTGGCAGTTTGTGAATGAGCATATGCTGGGTTTTAGAACCAGTTTTGACATTTCTTTCGCTATTTGTATCATGCTCTAGGAATTTAGAACACAAATTGGGAGCATAATGGAAACACGCTTGTAAAACAGAGGATTTTGGAATCCCTGTGGAATTACACTAGGCTACTTATGTTATCTCACTTTATCTTGTATCATATATGACATAATGTCACAAACTGAAATGTGACATTGTCCTTAACTACTCTATAATCTGACCTTTCTTTAAAACACAGGCCAAAGAATCTAACCTACTGGATACTGCATCAAAATGATACATTTTTTTCGAGCTATAGGTTATATTTTAAAAAGGCATCCAGTTTAGATGCAGATTTCCATATCAATTCATTAAGAAGCTTCTCTTAGTGAAAAGCTTGTTGAGGTCTGTGAAGACAGTGCCAATAGAAATGTTGGCAGGTCTAAAAGTTCTGGGGAAAACAATTTATGGTGAAAACAGCAAGTCAAACTAGGGGATGAGATTTTTGGTTTTGGTTGTGGAGCTCTCACTATCCATAATTGCTGCAAACAGCAGCTGACTCTCTTCCTGGCCTCCTCCCTTCCCTGCTGCTCCCAAGGGCAGGGAGGCTCAAGCTGTGTAGACTTTTCCCTCCCCACTCATTCTGAGGGTGGGGGAGGGGGGTTAGGAACATGCATCTTCTTCTGTCCCCACTTCTTGATGCTGGGATGCATGCACTTTTCCCCTCCATGTGGTGGGGAGATATTCACATGTGGCCTCCTCCTTCCCTGCTCCTTGCAGGGCTGGGGAGGTTTGGGCCATGGGGACTTTCACCCTCCCTGCTGCTCCAGGGATGCAGCAGTGCACGCATGCTGCTCCTCCTCCTCCTCCCCTCCGTGTGGAAGGGATGGGTCCTCAGCGGAGGGGGTGGGGCTGTAGCTGGGGCTGGGGGCCTTCCTCCCCCTAAAAACTTCTCAAATCTTCTCAAATGTTCTATGTGACAGACGGTGTGATGGATACCTCTCCTTTTATAATAGAATAGATTATCACATACAATGTAAAATAATTATTAATTTATAATTAATTCATAATTTATATTAAGTATTGCATACACACATTAGTATAATTTATATTAGGTAATAATAGGTATTATACTACCTTAATATAACAGTAATCTATTAGCAGAGTGTAAAACAATATAAATAAAGAGCTATTAATGCTATTAGAAAC